CTAACAGCTTTTAATATTCTCTTTTTATGTTGTATTTCTGGGATGGTGATTATTATATGTCTGGGTGTAGTTTTATTTTGGTTATGGCTATTTGGAGTTCTATATGCTTCACTGATCCGTTTGTCAGTTTCCATTCTTGTGTTTGGGAAATTTTCAGCTATTACTTCTGTAAACAGCCTCTTGATATCATTTGTGTTGTCCCCTTATTTTTCATTTATCCCTATCAATCTTATGTTGTTTTTCATTGCATCATCTTGCAACTGTTGAATTATTTCCTGATTCCTTGTTATTTTTTTTAAATTTTATTTAAGGAGGAAAAAAAAGCAGAGAAAGGGTACAAGTTATATAGATTTACAGAAAAAATAAACAGTAGGAAATCACTAGTTAATGGATTACATATTGTCATCTTAGAAATAATTGTTCAAGTCACAAAATTAAAGCTTGTAAAGTGGACATTCCAACAGTGAGACTGCAAACAGTTCTGTTCAATGATCCAACAAAACTCAATGATATCATTATCTATCTTATACACTTAAATATACATGCAGTTATATCATTGAGAGCACTTTCTTTTCCTCTCTTTTGTACAATGACTATTACACATTTTGGGTTTTGTTGCTCCCACAGTTCTTATTACTTTTTTGGAAGGGAGTAGAACCAAATGTGACATAACAGAACAGAGTCAATCAAATCAAAAGGGTGGACATAATAGATAATGTAAAAGCATAATACAAGGTGATCAATAATGGTTACCATAATGCCTCCCGCTATCTCTAATAGAATTGCCTATATTATCAGTTATAATAAAATTGAACAAAACAGTAAAGAACGAAACCAACAAAACCAAAACATTGGAGACATTATAGGTCTTCAAAAGTAGATAATAGTCAACCAGAATGGGCGTCATAATGAATCTCACTATCTTCACAGCTGTTGCCTAAACTTTCGAACCTGGTATTATCAAGCAAAACAGAATAGGGGGACATCAGTAAAAAACAAGATGGTGAGAGTAATACAGGGCTTTAAATCAAGATAATGGAAAGTCAAAGTGGGTTACTATACTATATCCTGCTATTTTTTATTTATTTTTCCCTTAATTAAAAAGATAAAAATAAAAAAGTAAATGATGAAGTGGAGATTGAGATAAAAGAGGGCATAACAGCAAAACAGCGCAGATCAAAACATAACCATTTAAGCAGAATAGTGTTTCATCACAAGATAATCCTGACATAAAAGTAGTTACCATATTGTCTCTTTCCTTGAAATCTTTGAGTATAACTTTGTATACCGTAGCATCAAATATATCAAAACAATGTAAAACAATTTAAGAGAATGACAGCATTACAGGGTATTTAGAATCAACTAACAGAAAATGAACAATGGTTTCTGTATAATCTCCTTGTCTTTAAAAGTTTTTGCTTATACTATCATACATAATAAAATCCAATAAGATACAACCTGTTTAGACCAATGGAGACAGAAGAACAAAAGCTTGATGAGACTTCAAAACAAGATGATACTAAATCAGTATTACCTATTAAGATGTCATTTTCTCCAAAATAGCTGTTCCTATCATCCAATCTTCTCTGCCTCATTTCTGTTGAGCTCTTTTTCTGTCATTAGTTGTCAGTTTATCGTCTTCATTTTGTTTTCTGCTCCATTCATTGTGGCCTCTCTGCCACTACTTCTGGATTCTTTGCATTTTTCTTTTTTAGAATATCCTGCAGTATTCTCTGTAGAGTTGAATTGGTGGTTGCATATTCCCCTAGTTCCTCTTTATCCTGGAAGCACCTTGTTTTTCCATCAGTTTCCAGGGATAGTTATGCAGGATATATCAATCTTGGCTGGAGATTATTATCTTTCAAAGCTTGAATTATTTCCCCCCATGCTCTTCGTGATTTGATGGTTTGTGCAGAGACATCTGCTGTAATTCTGATGGGTGTTCCCTTGTAAGTGGTCTGTTTCTTGTCTCTGACAGCTTTTAATATTCTGTTCTTGTATTGAATTTCTGGAATTTTTATTATTATATGCCTGGGTGTTGCTCTGTTTGGGTTATAGGTGGCTGGGGTCCTGTATGCTTCATACAACTGAGTATCTTTACCTTTTGCTAAATTAGGAAAATTCTCCTGGATTATTTCTGTGAGTAGCTTTTGTAGTTCATTTGTTTGTGTCCCTACTTCTTCTTTTATGTTCTTAATTCTTAAGTTATGGATCCTCTTATCATCTTCTAGTCTTTATATTATTGCTGTTTGTTTCTTTGTTACTTTTAAGAAGTTTTTCATTTCATTCTCCCATATTACGAATCTGTCCTCCAGTTCAGATAGTCTGTCTTTAGTTTCTTTCAAGCTGTTATGCCAGTTTTCGATAGAGTTTTTAAGTTTCCTGGTAATCTCTTTGAAACTGCTTCACGTATTCTATGCTTTCTTTATTTTCTCCATCAAACAATTCTCTCCTCTTTTTCTGTTCTTCCATTCCACCATCTGTTTTTTCTTGGGTGGTGCTTAGTATTTCTCTAACTATTCTGCTTATTTCTAGCTTCAGGTCATTAATAACTTCATTCCTGAACTCATCTATGAGGCTTTCTAGATGGCGCTTTATGTCTATTGGTGTGGTGTCCGCTATTGCCTGTTTCTCAGGATTGGGGGCCGAAGGGCCTTTCTTGTTGCTCCCTCTTCCCATATTCTTTGTTCCTTATATATGTAAGCATATATAGGAGGCCCAGCTTCCCTCCCTGTCAGCCACAGCCTGATCGAATTGTGCTGGCTAGGTGTTCCCGCCCACCGCAGCACACCAGGAAGTTGCAGACCAGGCAGCCTATGCGGGGCCCGCCCCTCCAGGTCACCTTCAGGTGCTGGGATCTGGGTTGTGCTAGCCTACTGGGTCTCAGCCAGCAGCGTCACGTAGGCTAAGCACTTCTCACCAATCCCGCCTGAGGCGGGTACATGGCTGAAGTCGCTGCAGTGCCCCACTCCCAGAAGTCTGCCCAGTCCCAGAATGTCCTCCGCTGGAGTCTCCTAAACTGCGGAAGAGTGTCAGTTTCTCTCACTCACCTCACCGCAAGTCAATGCACAGCTCCCCGCCTGTCCTGCTTTCAACTCCGTTCGCCGATTCCCGTTCTCAGAGCTTCCGCACGTCTCTCTCCCTGCCGAGCCTATGTAGACGCAGCCACCGCGCGGCAGGAAACCCAAATCACGGCTTCCAATGGCACAGGCTCCAGCTTCCACACTGAGGCTTTTCTGTTCCTGTTATAGCACCAGGATTGCATTCCCAGTTGGTTTCTCTCAGCCCAGTTTGTTCTTAGGTCAGCAGGGCATATCTCCACTTGCTTATGATTCCTTACTCCACACCATTCCTGAATTCTAAGCTGGGTGTTTCAGAGAGCCTCCGTAGCTGCTGCTATCTGTCCGCCATGTTCTGATTCCTTGTTATTTTTAAAAGATCTTTCCTTTCCTGTTCACTAGCTGCAATCTTATCCTCAAAGTCTGAAATTCTATCTTCTCTTTCGTTGAGGCAGTTTTGACAACTTTCAATGGAATTTTTTATTTCCTGTATATCTCTTTGAGTCTGCTTCATGCATTCTGTTTCTTAAATTGTTCATTCAAGGTTTCCATATTTTTGCATTGTCCCTCTAATTTATTAACTATTTCTTCTTTAGATGTGTTCAGCATTTCTTCCATTACATTTATCATTTCTTCTTTTACCTGGGAGATTATTTCTGATTTGAGTTTTTTTATAGCTTCCCAGAGTTGTTTCTTTATTTTAGTTGATATCATTTCAGGCATTTCAGGTGTATGGCTTATATTTTCTTTTATGTACATGGCTCCTAGGCTTTCTTGGGATGGGCTAGAGATTTGAGACTGCATTTTGGTCTTTCATTTTGTCATTTTCCTATATTTCCAGGTTTTGAGCGATGGTCCACAGCTCTCCCTGAGCTAGCACAAGCACACTGGAACTCACCTCATGTATCCTCAGTTCACTGGATTGATAAAAGATCACTAGGTGTGGTCCAGTCAGGCCCGTGGGACTCCCCGGAGCCCCCTCTGGTGTTTCAGGCAACTCCTTACATTAAAAACATTTCTAAGTGACAGTTCCTGGCACTGTGAAAGTTGCAGTAGAATTGAGCCATTCACATTGCAGGTGGCTCTGTAATCTATAAAATTCAGGGAAAACAATTTGGCAAAAACCTGCCCTTCCACAAACATTTTCGTGACCTCTGGCCCAGATGTTTCCTTGGGAAGTAATTAAAATGTGGAAAAAGTTCTGTGCTCAAAGATACTTGCACCAGCATTGTTTATAATGGCAGGAAAAGTACATTTATTTTCTATTTACAGGAGGCATAAGATCACAGTCAGAAATACCTGACAGGAGGTGTCAGCCCTTTCAGTGAATTAGTAGAATTATTTTGTGTTAAAAATGGACACAGCCAGTTGTATAGGACATACACATTCCCTAAACCCTGTTTTATTTCATAGCTGAATACATTTCTTTGGAAAAGCTTTTAGAATTCTACTAACCAGTGGTGAGATTGACTTGAAAATTACCCGCTGGCTGGGGGTGTGGCTCGGTGGTGGGGCACTTGCTTAGCAAGTGCAAGGGCCTGGGTTCCATCCCTAGCACTGCAGAACAAAACAAAAATGAAACATCTTCCTAAATCTGTTCATCCTCTGGTGGAGGGTGGAGTAATCTGAAACTACAGGAAAGGTATTTTCTAATTTGCACCCAGATTTTAAAATCTGGAGAAAGAAAAAAGCTCACCCTGGACTGAAGCTTTGTCTTGAAGCCCAAGCTGTGAGAAGCCCAGACCATGCCAGATACACTGGCGCTAACGTGTCCTCTAGCCTGCCTCTGAGGCCGCTTCTATAAGCGATGCTTAGCAAAAGCCTGGTGTCCTGCCAGTGAGTCATCCTGGCCTCTGGGGCATGCTGGGCTCTGTGAGTGCAGCCTCGGGGATGAGTCACATCTTCCATCACAACCACCTGTGTGTGTGTTTTGTGGCACAGGAGGACCCCAGCGGTGCATCGGGAAAGCAGCAGCATGCAGAGATGGTGGCACCGAATCCAAGCTGTGCCTTCTGCTGCCGACTCCTGGATTGGTGAGGGCTTTCTGCTGCTGCAATTCCAGGATGGGTGGGAGGTGGTCTTGGATAACACCCGGCAGCAGCTCATGGAAACACTGGCCAGTGAAGGGAGCATATATCTCAGACCCGGGCACCAAGCCCAGCTTCTCTCCCAACTTTACAGATCTGCTAGCAGTCGTTTTTTTAGCATTGGTTTATTTATGCGAGGGAAAAATCAAAGTCCCTGGGGAATTTTAAAATAATATACAGACTTCTGCTCCACCTATATGTAAGCATCTCCAGGAGCACAGTTCTGGTAAGAACCAAATCTTTCCAGAGGATTCATAAGCACTGTGGTGAGGAATCACAGTAACATCACAGGAGGGTGGTCCTATGGGCTCTTGGAGCACCGCCCAGAGAGGGGATTCTTATTCTCCTGCTGTAGACCAGCTCCCTCTGTCTGCTCCCTGAAGCCAAAGCCTTCCCTGTTGGGTCCCACCTGTCCCAGTCTCCTCAATCCCAGAAATAAGCCTCTGTTTCTCTTAGGGTTGATTTTCTTCTATTTCTAAGCAAGAAATCTCCCAAATCCAATGCGTAAAATCCTAAGGAGAGATCCTGAGCATTTTTGGAACATGTATTAGATCAACTGTTAGCCCGTCTGACTTCACAATCATTTGTAGCATCTATCAGTCATGAGTGGTGCCAGCCTGATGGACTAAACAAAGAGTGGCTAAGTCACCTTTGAGAGGTCAGGAGTCCCACGGGGAGAGCTGTTCAGCAACTACTCTTATAAGTGCACAGTGAGCTGTGATGGATGCAGAAGGACAATGTCTGAACGACTGCATTTCCAGTTAGAAAACATTACCCCCAGAACGGGCACTTGCCATAGTGTTTTATTGAGTTTCTGCCTCTAAAAAAAGAAACAGCATGGGGTCTGTGCTAAAAACTACTGTGTCATCTGGTGCGGCCCATTGTGTCAAACTGCCTTGTCAGACCTGAGCAGTGAGCTCTCCTGTAGGAGGGGCACTCGGTAAGGGCACTCACCCAGTCCTCCCAGGACTACTGTTCCTATTTATTAAGGTCTGAGTTTGCATTTTCAAAGAAAGTTTTAAAGTACAATAAAAACATTTTGAGGCTGTTGGTGGTGGCATACACCTGTAATCCTAGGTACTCAGGAGACTAAGCAGGAGGATTGAAAGTTTGAGGCTAACCTGGGCATTTAGTGAGAACTTGTCTCAAAACTGACATTTAAAATTAAAACATTTAGAGTACACATTTAAAGTACTGAATGTTTTTATTCTGAATTCCTAGTCTAGACCCTATAGAACCACTTAAATACCAACAGAGGTACCAACGTTCCATACTAAATGTTCTCCCTCTCTCTTCCTCTGTCTCTCTGTCTCTCTGTCTGTCTGTCTCTCTCTCTCTCTCTCCTTCAAGACAGGGTCTTACCATGTAGTTCAGGCTGACCTTGAACTCACTATATAGCTCAAATTGGCCTCAGACTTGCAGGGATCCTTCTGCCTCAGCCTCCCCAGTGCTGGGATTATAGGCATGCCCCAGGGCCAGCTAAATGTATTCTTTTTTAATGGACAAGGCAGAAAAAAAGCACAACCAAGCACATCCAACCAAGTCAGTGGATTCCCTGTTGGACTGATGAGGAGAAAGACATAATTTACAAATTGAAATCTGGGTAAAGCATATAATTATTGAGCAATTGTTAACTGAAGGCAGGGCTATGTATATCCTCTTTATTCTGTCAGAAGATCAGATATCTCTCTGATGGGGGATGTATTCTTTTGTCTACTTTGCTGATGTACAATTTGTGAATTGAATAATATAGATAAATAATATACATTCATCTCAATGTAAACATGGTAAATGTAATATTTATCTTTTATATTATTTTTGATGTAAAATGCTGCATTTAAGAGTCTATTTTAGCTACTTTATCCAGTTGAAAACAGCATTCTCCAGTAGAGCTGCCCTCAGCTATTATGTTTGGACAGAAAAGTTTCAAAGAGCAGACCAATTCATACACTGGGCTGCACTCACTTGAGCAAGTTCCAAATTTTCTGCTTCGGAGAACAGATGTTGGAATGCGGCAGGAGTGGAGGGTGGGGACAGAAAATGAAGTGTGAGAAAATATGTGACTCAGAAGGGCAGCATGTTTTTCCAAGAGGAAAGGGCCTGGCTCCCAGTTCCAACCCCTCGAGCCCCAAGCAGGGTCCCCCCCGCGCACACACACCCTCACACATCAGCGCTGCACAGACCCAGGCACAGCCGGTGTGTGGAGTTTGTTGACTATCACAGTTAATATCCCTAGTTAATACCCTGCCGTGGGGAATCAATCGGTTTCCCTGTGCCAGGATTCTTTGTCTTGAAGTTCTCCGAGCTCAGAATGCGCAGCTTTCCCTGGGCCTGTTATTTTACTCCAGGGGCTGAGTGAGGGCCTGGTTAAGAACTGTGATTCATTAGAATTCCTTTAGCAGAATTAGGATCTCTGGGAAGGAAGGGGCTGGAGCTGCACACAGTTCGGTCTCTTGATAAATGCCATGGTATTTGCTTCTTTCTGATGCCCCCTGGTGACCTTGTACTGTATAACTAAAATTGTTCCATGTACTCAGACAGGTAGAGCCCCGCAGAGACCCACAAAACCCACTTTTTGGACATCTTGGATACATTTAGCAGTACTTAAAGAGCTAAGTACTGATGTGTAGCATAGCTTCTTCGCTACATAAAAACTAATTTTTAGCCATAGGTGTGAAGAAAACATCAATGTTTATAGTTGCATACTATAATTTTCTATTTTATGATGTCTATGTGATGATTAAATATTATCCTTTGTGGAACAAAACATTTATTTTTAATGTTTTATAAACATATTCTTATCAGGCCAAATTGTGCTAGATGTAATTTCATACAAGAAGCTTTCCAAAAGGACCAGGGAGACCTCTTAGTTGAGGATGACAGGCCACGCAGACATTAGTCCAGGCTCTGATATAAGAAATTTAATGTTTCTTTTTGCCATTACTTTCCCTGTCTCTATTAGAAATGTACATAATTTTATGAGATCTTATGTAACTTTCTCTAGGAAGCAAAAGATGGAGAGAAACGGTCTCAGAAGGATCAACTGTGGCAGGTTTTCAATCATCATCCATGAAAACGTGCTGTACCAAGGTGCAACTCTTGGTAGGTTGAGGGGCTGGGGTTGTGGGCACTCAGCCTTCAGGGTGCCTCTCTGTGGGGTTCTGCTCGTGCTAGGCTCCAAGTTGCTGCCTGCTACTCCAATCTCATACCACATACTGGGGTGATATATATATATATATATTTCCAAATGTATGCGACTAATAACTAGATGGCTTTAAATCAGATGTGATTAAGTTGGGTGAAGTGCCAGTGCCTATACCTAACTGGAATCAAGGGCTCCACGGAGCTAGTCGGGACGTGTCCTCAATCTCCCATCCTCCTCTTCCTGCGTGACCCATAACTGCACCTGGCAAGGTCACAGGCCACGTGGGCGTTGCTGCCAACTGTCCGTAAATGTTTTGTGGAAGCAGAGATCTGGGAGGAGTACAGAGGGCACCAGAGCATGGAACTCACTGATTTTAGTCACAGAATCCTTTTTCCAAAAGTAGTTTAAGCAGAGCAACAGCCTCCGGCGGGGCTGCCGGGGTGACAGGTAGGTGGGAGAGGTCTTCTGAGCCCGAACAGTGAGGAAACTGGCAGCCAGAGAGCTGGCACAGCCACTTATGTTCTCCCTCCCTGGCTCTCAGCCTTGCGTTCCACTCAGCATGCTGTTAGGTCTCACTTGACTCCAAGCTCACTCTCCGTAGGTGGTACGTTTTCAAAGAATAACAGCAGGCTTCCTGGATTTAACACTTAGTATACCACATGCTATATCACAGAAAGGTCAAAGTGTGGTCAGAGGGCCTTGAGGTTCCCTTGAGACCTTTCAGAGAGGACACGCACTCTTCCCTTTTGCCTGCAAGGCCAATATTGCAATAAATTGATGGAGATCCAGTTACACAACCCAGCTGCCTGCTACCCGGCCAGGTAACATACTCACCATTCTTTAACGATACTCTTCTCCTTTCTTTAATTTCAGAAAGTGAAGTTATTTTCATTCAAGCATTTTTTGTTAACATGCAGTTAATTTTACAATCTTTATTTATTCAGTTTTTAGAGAGAGGGTCTCACTATGTTTTTCAGGCTAACATTAACTGTCTGGACTCCAGCAATCCTCCTGTCTTCAGCCTCCCAAGCAGCTGGGAGTAGGCATGCACCAGCATCCCTGGCTTCTTATTATTATTGCTTTAGCACTGAATTGTATCCCCTAACCTTTATTATATTTTAAACACATAATACAATGTTTCCTAAATGTCTCAGTTTAAAACTCTAAATAACATCCTCAAAACTGCCCATTCAGTCTAGGGAAGCTCTAAATGTGAAAGTGATTTGCCATTTACATATCAAAATGTCTTTCTCAATCCATCTGCAGCTGGCTGACATTGTATGATAGCTTTTCTCCATTTCAGGGTTAGAGTTCTACCTCAAGTCTCTAAAATGATGTATGTTATGATATTTGGTAAATGAAGCCACAAAAACACAAACACTTTAGGGCCCTCAATTTTAAAAGTATAAAGGTTGTGACTGTTGACACAGTGTACGGCATTTATTATAATACCCTTATAAAGTAGGAAGTAGTCTCTTTATTTCACAGACGAGGAAATGGAGGCTCAGAGAAGTTGAATAATGTGCCAGGGTTGAAGAGCTGGTGATTACTTATCTATTGCTGTGTAACAACGCATCCCAGAATTTAATGGCTTGAAATCATGAACCAGGATTTTGGGAGCGGTTCAACCGCAAGGATCAGGCTCAATCTCTTCTGAGGTTGCTGTCAAAATGTCTGCAGAGGCTGCAGCCTTCTGATGGCTTTGTCTGGGGTAGGAGGCTCTGCCGCCCACACTTGGCCTCTGGCAGGAGGTGTCAGCTCCTTGCCACATGCGCCCCCAATCGGCTGCTTGCGAGTCATTATGACCCAGCAGCCAGCTTTAGAGCAAGTGATCTGAGGGAGGTACCTGGAAGACTCAGTGTCTTTTACAGTCCAGTTTTGGATGTTTTATGCCATCATTAATACTTGTCAGAAGTGAGTCACTAAATCCAGACCAGGTTTACAGAGAGAAGAATTAGGCTCTGTTCTCTGCCCCCTCTGATGTGGGGATTAAATGCAAGGCCTCTTCTATCCAGGAAAGTCTTCTATCTGCTGAGCCATACCCCTCAGCCCCAGCTCCATCTTTTAAAGAGAATGCAAAGAATTTGTGGATATACTTTCAACTGTCACAATGATAGAGCCAGACTTCAACCCAGGTGTCCAAATTCAATCACTTATGATTCAGAGGTACATGCTTCCTGGGTCAGCCCTGCGCTCCCACACTCTGGCCTTCCCTGGAGTCCTCCACAGCCCCAGACTGCCCAACAAGCTCCAGACTCGTGCCAGGTGCATGAGCTCTCTGCTGCTAGCCTCTCAGGCTAAGGGGGCAAAGTGAAGCTTCGGATTCTCACATGGGTTTAAGAATATGATATAGAGAAGAACTACCTTTGCAGTGGCCTGGATGACAAAACCTAAGCTCTTGGCTCTAATAGCATCTGAGATAAAGAAAGTGGATGCATCAGAGCAACTCTGGAAAACAACTAGAAATACAGGATTGCCTGACAATTCAGCAAGTCACATTCCCACAGATCCCCTCATTGGCATCTATATGTCCCCAGCACAGTTTGAGACTTTCATATCTGAACTGTTACTTATTAAAATATCTCTCAGTGTCAAGAGGGGACCACAAATGCTACCCCTATGCTGGCAACTCCCCTTGGTAACACACCTGAAGAGGGGTGCATACCGTGCACGTTAGAACCCTACTCTCCACGACGTTTTATGACTATCAAAAACTCACTCTTCTTTTGTGTAACTTGGGCTTTTTGAGGCTGTGATACAGGACCCAGCTTCTCTGATTCCAGCACTGGAGCACAGCACAGTAAATGTGAACACTGTGAGACTGACATTCAGAATTCTCCAAGAGTCTCCAGTAAGGACCCACTGAAAGGTGAGAGTGACTTGGGGCCTCCAAAAGATGGAAGTAGAGACAGCTGTTCCCAAGCCATAAACTATATGTTTAATATTTTCTTTTTAGAATTTCATTATAGATACAACACCCCAGGACAATATTACTTAAATTGTGGAAGAGATGCCTTTGTCCAGCCCTGCTCCTTAGATGAAAATAAAATTTCTGCACCTCGTAAGTACATCTCCTGCATGGTCCCATCTATGTCAGCAACCCACCTCCAGTGCGGGAAACCCAGAGGACACTGGCCACTGCTTTCTCAGCAGGGGCGGGCACTATGAGAACCCAGGGGTAAGTGATTTTGAATGTGCTTTACGTGCTACATGTGCTAGAAGTGCTTAGGTACAAGTCAGCAGCACATCATCAATTCTGGCTAGACGAATGATTGAATAATCATCACTTTTAATGATGTCCAAAGCTTTCCTATCCTCCCTCCTGAAAGTCAGCGCATGACTACTTCCTCTACTCCTTAGACAACACATTGCTAATTCTTTATGTAAAATCTGGCTGTCTTTAAAAAAAAAATTAAAACCCCACAAACATTTATAGAAGTGACTGAAGATATGGCTCCTCCCTCCAAGAGTTTCCAATTGAGACTTATACCCAAATGGGGGAAATTCAAGGCAAAACGTAGTACTAACAGCAAGGTCAAAGTGTGCTACTAGAACTCAGAGGAAGAAAGGACACCAGTACCTCCTGTTTCCCCCCTGAATGACAGTCGGGCCGGCTCTCTCACAGGGCCGCGTCCTTTCTCTCACACCTCACACTCTTTCCTTCTGGCAATAAGAGTACAGAAGGAGAATGTTTCTCACCTTTCCCAAATGCCCAGGCCCAAGACTAAAGGATGTTGTTTACCTCAGTGATCTCAGTGGTGCCTCTACCTACCTGCAGCTGACAGATCTACCCATTTGTCAAAGAGTAGCCGTCACTAAGACTGCAGAAGCTACAGGGTAAATTTCCTTTACTCTCTCCAGTCTTTGGACCCATTATTCCGAAGCATTATGAGAAGTATAACTAAGTCACTGAAATGGGAACACCCTTAGAAAAATGTGGAGTGGCTCAGAGGGAGGCAGCTTTTTCTTCAGTGCTGATAAGGAGCCTTCCAGCATTTAAAGCTGACAGAAACGGAGTGGGCTGTTACGGGAGGCCAGGCCGTGAGCACCATCTGGGAGACAGTGTGCTCTGTCTGATGCTGCAGATCTGTAGACTGGCCCTCAACTGGGCCCTCTGGCCTGTGTCTCTTTTGGAGCTTCTACATTTTCAAGAAGACCCAAAGTTACATTTGGAGACTACCAAGGATTAAGATGGAGCTCGTTGGTGCCTTTGTTCTTCACCGCCCAGCTAAGCGGTCAGCATGACTAAATTTGAACGTTTTGGCTTCCATCTTGTATGTTCGAAGGACAATCTCTCCTAGTTTTCCTTGTCTGATGGGACCCCCTAGAAGGGTGTGAAGCTGGTTACTAGACATGAGTGAGTAACACAGGGCACTTGGAGCAGGAAAAGGAGAAGACAGGGAAAGGAGGGGAGAGAAGAGGACTTCACAATGAGGAGGCAGACTTCCGGACCACCGACCTGTCTCTCTGCCTTTCCCTGGCTTTCTTGCCTTCATGATGACTCTGCTACATTTCCTTTTCTGTTCAGTCTGTGTTTCCTGGAATTGCCTTAATAACACAATTGTAAATGACTCCTAGGATCCTTTCTCCTAAAGTTGGAGAGGATTTCAGGAGCCCATATCCAACCTCTTGGAAGTTATTATCCATTCATTTACATCAGGTGAAGTAGCTGAGCTTGCAGAAGTCGGACAACATCCAACAGTGAACACTAGGGAACTAAACTCCTGGCCTCTTCTGCTGATGAAACTCCTCTTAAATTGAATTTCTTTTTAAGGAATTTAGAATACTTGACAGAAAATCCCTTGTTTTGTCACTTTTCTTCTATGATTAAAATCTTAGAAAATATTTAATTCATGCTGAAAAGGAAAGGATACATACCCACCAACTAGGGATCATTTTTGGTGCTGTGAATTTAATTATAACTAACATTTTCAGCTTGTTCAAAACCAAAAGAGCCATGTTTCCAGGGAGTGAATTCACAATCCTTTCAAGATGAATGGGAGCCTGCATTAGGAAAGTAAGTATCCATGAGAGCCCATCACTGGTGAGGGGTAAATAATGTGTTCATGTATTATCCACCCAAGATCACCTAGAGCATAAGTTGAAGGACCATGAGTATAACCAAAACCTTTCTAATATTCCAATCATTCACTTTTTTTTTGGTCTTTTTGAGACAATGTCTCATTGTGTAGTTCAGGTGGCCTTGAAATCACTATGTAGCCCTGTATTCTTGGGAAATGTTACTTACCTTCTCTGTGCCTCCATTTACCCCTATGTAAGTTGGGAGTAAAACAGTTTCAAATTCACTGAGAATGGAGTCAATACATATAAATACTGAGACTCGGACTTGGCTCATAACAAATACTCAGCTGAGCTGTTATCAACAATGGCTGTTATCAATTCTGTTGAAAGTGATGACTAATAGGTATTTGCAGAGAACAATCTGAAGCCTTTGCTCTTCTCACGGGCCCATACTTCCACATCTTGCCAGTTTTTTTATTATATAGGGCCCCTGACACAGAATCACTTCTCACTGTGAGGAAGATCCAATGTGCTGAGCTGCACAACTAACTCATGTTAATGTAGTAGAGGCAGAGGGGTTAGGGAGGCTCTGAAGTCACAGCACTCAGAGTGAGGCTTTCTAAAGATGACCTTGCTCACAAGTGTATGTATCAAAATAATTTTAGCAGAAGAATGATGTGAAAGCGGCAGCAAGACAGACCTGCAGACAGGCATGTACTTGTGGCAGCCCTTGGGGCTACCATTCATGGCTGTGAAAAGGCTAACTCCCAGACTGCTCCTCACAAAGACTATAGGACTAGCCCCTGCAGCTACAGAGGCGGGGTCCCCATTCCACCTGTTTAGACTCAGGATCCCCCCCATTAGAAGGAGTCATAATTCTAGGGTAGTCTAGGGGGCCTGCTAACTTAAAGGAGTGCTTCTATTTTCCTGCAGCTTTGGCCTTTTGCTGTATGTGTTCATTGATCCTAAAGTGATCTCAATCCAAGATGCCTATAACTGGCAGGTTTTTTTTTTTGTGCACATTTGTTTTATAAATGTTCAAAGCAGCATGTTGGCCCCAACATAATTAAAAATAAATAAAAATTGTGTGGGAAGGCTTGCCTTTCTTGTTGCTAAGAAAAAGCCCACTGATGGAAGGATAAATCACCATGATTATGGTAATAAATTGTTTTGAAGGTCAGCCCCATGATTCTAGGAGAGCGATGTTGTGTGTTCACGTCCTGACACCTGACTCCACACAGAGAGCCACCAGACCAGAGCTGAAAGGAAGGTGTGCTTTAGGTGTGTTTTACACAGAACCAATGTGCTTTTGCTTTCTAGAAGAAATGTACAGACCGACAGTGCAGATCCTGCAATCTTCCCTCCCCAATTTCAGTCCTGCATAATTTCTGGAAGCAAATCATTATATGACTTCGATAGCCTCAAAAAAACAGAATCTAAGGTGAGGACTTAGAAAAATATTTATAGAATCCTTGCAGCTTGTATGTTTGGTTTTAAGGACCACAGCACTGTTAGCTTTTAAGTTTTTCTAGTTTGCGGTTTAAGAAAATGCTCTGATTAAAACAATTTGCACTCAGCATTAACGTAAAGCCTTAGCAGCCACATGGTTTGTATTACTCCTAAACTGGTTCCAAGGCGCTGGAGAAAGTGTTTTGTGGGTGGTGCCTCAGTTGCAGGATTCCCCTGGCCCACATTGGAGGGCTGGAGTCTGTTCCAGTGATTCTGGGGTTAGGGCTGCCAGCAGTTTCCTATTTCAAACCACTAACCCTAACCCCTAGGTCACTTTCAAATGTGTACACACACACACACACACACACACACACACACACACACACACACACTGTATTCCTGCTTGCTCTGTCCGTGCTTATGGTCTCCAAACCTCTCCAATGCCCCCAAGAGCTTTTGTCTCTCTCTGCAGTAGGCAAACATCCCAGCAGGTTGCTGACCTCACCTCTGACTCATGCTCATCAATCACGTGCTGATCTCTTTTCTCTCTCTTTCCCTAACACATATATTCCATGTCAGACTGATTTCCTAGGAAACCAACCCACAAAAACAAAAATAAACTGTGTGGAAAACAGAATGCTCCAAAAATCTCATCTTGCAGTATTTAATAATGGGAGAAACTAATTATAAGAAATATTAGTAAGTTTACATAACTAAAGTATGTGGGCTTTTCCTTTGTAGATTTTAAACTCAGCTTTGGATCATGCCCTAAACACAGCAAGCATTTTGAAAAAAACTACTGATCAAATGATTAAAACAATTGCAGAAGATCTGGCCAAAGCACAGAGATGGAGGAATCAATTGAAACACTAAGCCAAGGCAGCTAAGTTTAAAAAGAAAAAATATGCGAAGAGAACTTGATCAACGCCCTCCCTCAAATATTTTACTTGTTACATAATTTAGAAAGATGTCTTTTTAGAGAAAGTGCTAAAACCATAAAAGGGTAACACAAAGTATTTAAATGGGGTGGGAGGACCTCTGATTCTTAAAACCAAAAGAAACCAAATCAAAACAATAAAATTTACTTTTATGTATTACTTTGAAGAAAATTAAAGTTTGTGTCAGTGAAGATGTGGAAAAGAATTACTCTCATATATTTTTTGGTGGAAATATAAACTGATGAAATCTTTTAGGAAGCAAATTTGTTCACACAGATGCTCCTTGGTTTATGAGATTTGTATCCAGATGAATCCTAGTAAGTTGAAAATTTATATAATAAACCTAACCTACCCCACATCACTGCTCAGCAAAACATTTACTGACAAGTGTCTGTTGTTTCCGTGTGACCAAAGGATGGCTGCCAGTGCCCAGCATCGGAACAGGATGATTCTGCCCAATACTCTAGCCCAGGGAAAGATCAGAACTCAAAGTAGAGTCTCTACTTAAGGCGCATCAATTTTATACTACCATAAAGCTGAAAAAAGTCCAGCTGTTACAAGCTGGAGACTGTGTCTACCAAACTGTACAAATTCTAAAAGCACTTACCTTCTTACCAGTGATTCCACTGCTAGCAATTTCCAGATGACTCAAATATTCCACCATAGGGCTGGGGATGTAGCTCAGTGGCATAGCACCTGCTTGGCAAGTCTGAGGTCGTGAATTCGATTGCTGGTACCAAAAAAAAAAAAAAAAAAAAAAAAAAAATCCAGCATACAAGAGCAAGGGCCACTGGATCACTGGTAGTAATATCCGCAAGGGGAATGAATCTTAAATACAGTATAATGATTAATAAACAATATTCTGCAACCAGTCATAAGAATGAGGCAGATTATGACCCCCTCCAAAAAAACAAGATACCTAACAATATACCCAGCATGACCTAACTTGTATATATTTTATTATAGGGCACATATATTTTCTGAAAAGATACACAGAAATCAAGTGGCCTCCAGGACATAAAACCAGGGGCTTGGGGGGGAAAGAACGAATTTCTACTTTTGTTGCAGATTTCAAGGGATCAGAAAGGCCAGTGGGGGAAAAGGTTTTATTTCCAGGATTTTAAACCGTACTTTGACCTAGCCGTCTGCAGTGCTGGGGGTTAGAACAATGAAAGGTTCTACTTTTATACGTTCGGCTGAGGGGTTGGTCTTTACAAACTGGGGTGGGGTGGGGCAAGCAAGGTACAGGAGCGAGACAAAGCAGTTAATCACAGCCTCGAAAGAAGACAGAGCCTCATGAATCCTGGAGAACAAGATGACATAAACTCTGTTTACAGGACATAGCTGCCCATCGTATCTGTACCAGAACAGGAAGTTCTTTAACTACAGGAGAGAAGGAGAGCTTTAGAGAGATCACTCTTTAAGTCCCGCTTCACTTTTTCCTTAATGACGCTATGACATCTTTACAATATTATAAAATTACCTTTAAAGATTTCTTGAAATCATGTAAAAATGATAGTCCTACATTAATGAAATTTTAGAAAAAGAGAATCCATTAAACTGAGAATCAGGGATTAAATTTGTAATATGCCCCATAGAAGGCCAGAGCAGGTTTTTGACTTAGTCGTTCAAAAGTTATTCATTACCTCCTTAGTAACAGCAGATTTTTGTTTCTTTTCCCCTCTCCTGATTGCACACCACACACTCTCAGTAAAAGGTTTCCCAACCCCCAGAGTCTGGCTCTGCAGGGACAAGGGAGCTGAATATATTCCTGCTTCAGATTTTTGTGCCAACCAAGGCAGCTGCTGTTTGTCTAGGTGGCTAGAGAATAGGCTATTTTTAACTTTGGGCTTTGAAAGTGTTTTGGAGTATCTGGGAAGAGATAGTGCAGAGGTCAGCTGGGAGATAACTGAGTGTGTGGCACGATAAGGAAGAGGGCAAAGGCAATGCTCCAAGAGAAAAGGGAGCTTAGAAGTGTTTTCTGTTACATAAAATTTGTGGGATGTCATTTTTTTCTTCTGATCCCTAGGCTTCGTTTCTTTTTTTGAGATAGGGCCTCACTATGTAGTGCAGACTGGCCTCAAACTCATGGTGATCCTCCAGCCTCAGCCTCCCAAGCGTTGGGATTACAGGCATGTGCCACCACGCCCAGCTGGGTCATTTTTGTACTGAGCTTCTGTGCTAGACTTCAGGAAACCAAATCAAACCAGAATAAAGTCACTCATGTGCAAGTGTCACTTTGTCAAACCTTTATAGAAATGTGTCATTACTTTTTTGATTTAAAAACATGGTCCATCTCTGCGTTATTAAACCATATTCTAAATGTAATTTTATATTTTCTTGATTATTTGGGAACAGTATGAGCAACCAGTGCAAGGATCTAAACCAGAAATGAAATGGGACCATGCCTTGAAGGAGTTCTGAAAAGCGCCAGACCCTGATTTAAGAGGGTAATTTCAAACTGACTGACTTTGTACTGTCTGTTGTTTCCTGCCTCACCATGTCAATTCCTGTAAACACTTCTTCTAATTTTGTTCCAGTAATAAACCAGAAAACCTAGCTTGTTAAGTAAAATTGTATTTATAAAGCTGTGAGTCAGGGGCTCAGCACTGCCCGGGGGCAGAGGTGGTGCAAACACCTGGCAGCAGTGTGGTGCCGGGCTCTGCTGGAAGTTGCCAGAAGCAACAGCAGATGCCAGACTCAGTGAAAACAAAAAGGACTTGGTGGGAGGCTTTCTATCTCCTTTTTAGGAGAAAGTTCTAGCTATCCACTTTAGTGAACTATTAGGTTATACAAAACTCACCTTTTTGTCATTCTTTATATTATAATCTTATTAATGAATTATGTAATAGATCTAATTCATACTAAATATATTTATTTACATTTATTATCCAAAACAATTGTTTTGGTAGCGACTTTGTTATATACAGGAGCAAGATTTTTATTTCTTTGATCTTAGAAGAAATTATTTGCATTGCATCCTAATAGGATTCACAAATATGGAGGATACAAAATATGGAGACATCACACCTTATACCATTAAACCCCTGGAATCCAGGTCTTTAGGGGCTCAAATCCAAGAATTTTGTGTCTTTGTGAATTGCTGCTGTAAGCCTGGCCCAGTAGAAGACAAGGGCCTAAAACAGGATTCATAAAGATGTTCTCCTTAGTTTTTGGTAATACTGTACGTTTGAACAGTGTGAGCATACTGCACTTACTGACCAAGTAAATTTCAAAAGGAAGCAGCACCATGCTTAAGAGACAGTGTATAAGTGATTTCAGTTAGTCATAGCAACAAATCCATCTTGTTCACAGTCTCTGTGGGGGGAAATGAGCAAACACTAAGCATTTGATGAGCTGATTCTCTATCTTGAAGATTAGTCTAAATATTCCACACACGTCCGAATCCTAGCAGCATATTCAAGGCACTCAAGGGTCTCAGACAAAAATGAAGACATCAAAGAGCAATCCTCAGTGGAGATGTACTATTCTAAAGAACCATTATGAAGGTAAAGATTTAGACAAAAGGCATTCCACACTCCTGAGTATCAAGTTTAATAATATAAAGACATCATTTTTTCCCAGAGCCATAGCCGAGTTTGTGTTGTTCAAGGCAGTCCTTCAATTTCCTGCCCTCCAACATATCCAAATGCATTAACCTACTTAAATAGAAAATTAAAATGATCTACATGGAAAAATATTTGTATTTCAATGTACTCGAATCTCTGCTATAATGCTGCCCCAAAAAATGTGCTGCGAGGGGCAGACCACCTCCTCTGTTCCTGCCCCCACCATCAGTCCCACTGATTTTTCCCCCTAAATTAACTTAGAAATGTAATGAAGATGTCAAAATAACCCCATATGGGAAAACAACAAAATGATATTAACACATTCATCTAGAAAAACCTAACAGGAAGTTTTAGATAAAATATTAGTAATTTACATTTGGGTGAAGTAAAGATTACTTCCACTACATATTAAATACACAAACTGGGTATGGAAATGCGTGCCTGTAATCCCAGCACTTGGGAGGCTGAGGTGGGAAGATTATTGCAAGTTCCAGACCAGCCTGGGCCACAAAGTGGGCTCAAGGCCAGTCTGAATTACATAGCAAGACCCTGTCTCAAAGAGACAGGAAAACAAAAACAAAAACAAAAACAAAAATCTCATGAATTAAAATAGATAAGGAAAAAAATACAAATTGGTCAATAAAAGAAAATCTAGAAATACAATAGAATACAAATGGAAATTTAGTCTATGATAAAGGTGGTACTTTAGGTTAGCTGAGCAAACAGATTACCTAATAAAAGTGGTACAACTGGTTGTTCTCATTATGCATATCTAAATTGTACCAGTAAACACACAAAAAAATAACTGGCGGTTCAGAAAAGAATAAAGTGAGATCACAAGTTCTGCATCAGTTAGGGTTTTATGTGGGAAATAAACTAGGTATTTCAAGGAAAAAGGGCTTTAATAGGATTAGGTCTTTATGAAACCACTGAAAAAGTCAGACTATCAGACACTGAAGAGCCACGGCCATATCACCACCCGTAATCCAGAGGACAGGAAGCTACGGCTGTTGCCCCGTGGCACTGCCTAAGCCACACCTGGGATCACTAAGACTTGACGTCCAGTTGCTGCAACAGTGCCCTGTGTGCACTGGCGCAGCACAGAAGATGGCCTTTGCTTCCTTATTTTCAAAATCTTGACCAAATGCGTATTACTGACAGAATCTAAGCTGTTAAGAACCCTGTGTAGAGGCTGTAAAACTTCACTCTCTGCTTTTTAATTCTGTGGAACATGAGGTGGGGAGGCATGGAATAAATATACACCAAGCGATAAAAGACAATGTCTAACATACACCTTTGCATTAACATTAATTTCACATGGATAAAAGTAATCTGTAAAAAAAAGAATCTATCAAAGTATTTTACAACAAACCATAGGTAAATTTATAATTGTAGTGAACAGAGATTCTAAATACAGTATAAAGCCAAAAAGAAAAGTGATATATATCTTTATATTTAAGTGGCAGGCCAGGTATGGTGGCACATGCCTATAATCCCAGCACTCAGAAGGTTGAGGCAGGAGGATTGCTGCAAGTTCAAGGTTAGTGTGCCCTACAAAGTGAGTTCAAGACCGGCTGGACTGCAAACTGAAATCCTGTTAGAAGAAAAAGAAAAAAAACAAAGAAAACAAAGAAAACAAAGCAAAGCCAGGCACATACAAGGGTGTAGCTCAGTACTCAGTAGTAAAGTGCTTGTTTAGCAAGAGTAAAGCCCTGAGTTCAATTCCAATCACCAATAAATATTTGTAATGATACCTGTCAATATTTTAAACACAAATCCTATGACAAGCTATGTCACCGCTAGGATTTATATTACACAAATGTTTGTGTAAGTCTGCAAAAGTACATACCCATGTAATACAGAATTATTTGTCAGAACAAAACTCTGAACATGAGTGACACATAAAATTATGGTCCACCAAATGACAGAACACTATGAGGTCAAGTAAAAGGAGAGATCTGAAATGAAGATGTTACTTTTGTATAACACAAACTCATTTAAGGAGACAGCCTTTAATTATCTAACTTTATACATATTAATTGTGCTGTTTTTGGAAGAGTCAGTAGGAATTCCCTTGGTGGGAATTATGGTGCTTTCTGTTCCTTTGTAACCCTGATTTAGTACTTTTAAACTTTCCCCTCCTACCTAAAAACAAACAAACAAACAAACTTGGATACATTTTGTAACTATACTTTTATTTTATCTAAGAACATTCAAGATTTTCGGTTTTGTAATTTAAACATACATAATTTCAAAATTACATA